TTAAGCTAGTAAGAAATGTGCTGTGGTTTGTTTGGTGGTTTGTTGTTTGTTTTTTTTTTTTCCTATGTTCAGCATTTATTAGTGTAAGATCTCTATTAGTGTAAGTCGGTAAGCTTCATGAGCAGACCTATCTGCTGGAAGTGGCAAAAAAGAGTGTCACAGGATGCTCCTTTCTAGTGAGTATTTTACTAAACAGCAGGGCTGTATCACTACTGCTAAGACGGCTGGGAGGAGCGCATGTCGCTAAGTTCATCCACACAACCTATCAGCACAGAAGTACATGAATGTTTAGAATAAAAAGTGAGAAGTGTGTACGTTTCATGACCTTCAAATATTTCCTCTGGTGCTCTCACACTCAATGAGCAGAGCAAAACAGTACCTGAATTCTCACCAACACCACTACTGAATCTTAAGTAAAATGCAAACAACTTGAACAAATCCAGTATTTCCAGAGCAGCCAGAAAACCTGCACACACTATAGTATACCTACTAAAATACCCAGAAGTTCTAATTCTGTAGGAGTGTACATGTCTTTCAGAAGTAATACAACATATGTGCATGCATTTACACTTACATCTGATTTTTAGCCGCTTGTCTCTGAGCTTTCCGTTCTTTCCTTTTTTGATCTGGTGGCTTAGCAAAAACAATTTCAATGTTTTCTCCCTCTAAGTCTTTGCCATTCATTTCTTCCATTGCCTGAAGGAATTAACCAGACTTTAAATATACTCCTAAGCATATCTGAAGTTATTAATTTCATTCTATCTTTTAGAGTATGCATTTTAAATTGTTATCCAGAGCTAAAATAACAATATAAAGCTAAAAAACTTTTTAAAATAATCAGACAGCATAGTATTGTGGGTTCCAGAGTTATGCACTTCCTCTTAACTTGGCTCTCAAACCCAGGACTGCATGTATCAGTTTAGAAATCTTCTACTCAAAAACTGTAAATAGGCTTCAATCTTTGCAAGCTGTTTCAATTAATGAAGTGACGGAACTGTCCTCTGAAAGTACAGATTTCGCAATACAGGAACAAATTTCTAATGTCAGCACACACACGAACACTACTAAAGTTACAGATCAGTGTATGTTTTTATTCCTTTATTTTACTTGTAATAAATGTAACTTTTAAACTAGAAGCCAAAAATTAGACTTTAACAGCCTCATTCTGACCACAAAAACAACAGCCAAACAAACCATCACCAACAAGAAAAAACAAACCCCACCAACACACACACGTACAATTCCCATGGGTCACAGTAATTGCAACAAGTTAAATTCAAGCAGGGGAATCCTAAAGATTCTCCCACTTCCAGTGATGCTCCATAGCTAAGCCTTGATGGGATACATACCCTATGAAAAGACTCTTTCCACCATCTTAAGCATCTGCTTTAAGGCTTCTGAACGAGTAAGAAAAACTGAATCCCCTTGTATCCCGCATCCTCCCACAGAACATAAAAAATACACACACCATAGGCAGGAGAGGATTTATACTTTTCCCTTCCTAATGACAGATGACAGGAGAAAAAACACCAAAACCAGGCTAGTAAAATCCAGGAATGACAATAACTCAATTGTCCAGCACCTCTCATCAAAAGGAAAAAGGTGCTTATTCCACACCATAAAAAGGAAGTCATTCTGTTCCTGGAAAATAAAAAGATTACCTAAGTTTTTATCACCTGCCCTAGAGAAACTGCTTTAGATTCTACCAATAATTTGGTGTAAAGAGTCATTCAACTTCTGGCACTTCAGTTTCAAATGATAACACACAGGATTGTCTTAGATACTCATCAGCAGAATTACTTAGGACAAGTGCATCTAAGATCCACTTTTCAAGCTAACAACTGTATCTTCCTAGAAGACACCCAGAGATGACAAAGTTATCAGTGACAATGTGTTACCATATCTCCAAACAGAGCTTTTTCTCCAGTTAAAAGAAGTATACAGCTTCTAAACATTACATTTAGTCACTACACACACACAGTTACAGTCTTCTTCACTTACCTTTACAGCACCATCCCGTTCATCAAAATGAATGAAAGCATAGTCTTTTAACTTCTTCACTCGCTCTAGCTTTCCAAATTGACTGAAGGCTTTTTCTAGTATCTCCTCTGTTACAGTATTGGCAAGATTGCGTACAAACAAAACTTTTACCTACAAAAAAAAAAAAGACAACTTAGAAGTATGATCTAATTCCAAAATACAAAATGAAGTTTTGCAAGTCACTGCTATTGGCAGTACTGAAAACATTATTACATTTTTATATACAGTACTTAATATACATATACATGAATACACATATTTATTCATACAGCATGAATTAGCTCCAAAATTCCCTGATAGAAATATTAAATCTGTTTTCAAACATAATTACATAAGTAGTACAGTATCCTGACAGTCAATCCAATTTGTGTTAACGTTTAAAAGAATCCTAGCAGCAGTAATTTTCAACTCAGAACACTTTCAAACTTGAAAGAAGGCACCTAGGATTGGTTACACACAAATTAATTAACTTATCAAAACATTTTATTGTTTAGACAGGTTTTTGCTCAGGTATTTGCAGAACAGTCATCACTATAATATCTAGGTCAGAGGTGACAGGCCTGCAGCTCTCAAGCTGCTTAACACATGGCTCCCGTGGTATAGCTACACCAAACACCATCAGGACTGTTTGCCTGAGAGGCACTCGGTGACCTGAAGCCACAGCTAGAACAGAAAAAGCAGACAGAAGGGGATACTGAGGCTGACACTGCCAAGTCTCCCTCAGACTTTTTCACGAGTCAAATCGTGTCCTTCCCTTGAGGAACAGCCACCTCCAAATAACTCTCAAAGTCTATTCCCCCCCAGCTCTCTAAAGCATGCAATATGGCTTTTAAGCTACACAAAGACTGCTATGTATCTTGTAAGATCAGAGAGGCTGGTTATCTTTCAACTACTGATATATGCCCTGTTAACTGCCTGATAGTGGCTAAATCATCAATACAAAGTTTCATCAACCACCAACTGCTTATGATAAAAGAAAATACAGAGCAGTCTGACAAAGGCTGAAACTAGACTCTTATTTAATACAGCAGACAACATACACTGGGCACCAGGAATCACACATTAGTGACTCGTTGGCATTCAAAGACTCATCCTTGCGCCCACACTGAAGTTGCACTAAACGACCGTACATTAGCACGTTTACATGATGTCATCCATGATTTCTCACAATTTACAAGCCTCTTTGCCTTGCTGGGGAGAGTCTCTTCCACAGACTGCCACCACGTTCTGACAGTCTAGTCACTTCCTACTGCCACAGAACGTTCAGAGTCTTACCTTCCTACAACGCAGCGGGACATCAGCTGCAAAGACCTGCAACTTCTGCTCACATCCCCTCCCCTACTAGTGGTTTCAAATTAGTTGACGACAAAAAGTAAGTGAACATTGTACACAGCAGCACTGACTTCCCGCTCCTAACCCTGAGGGTCAACACTAATAACACAGGGTGTGAAGGGACCAAAGAAAGCATGCTTCAATTTTTGAAGCAGAGCTATGATGTCTACTCCCACCACATACAGGTACTCAATAACCCCAGACACCCTTTTTATAAGAATTACTATGTAATTATGCTAAATAACCAGGACAGACTTCCATAAGCTTTTGTCTCACTTGCTAGCTAAACGAGGATGGGATGCAAAGTTTGGAAGAAGGGATACCACAGATCCCAAGTCTGACCCAGTGTATCAACTCTAGTCTTTGGCACGTTACTCTTGCTGATTTTCTCAGGAGATGAAAGTCACAGCCAGCTCCACAAAGAAAGCTGCTTCCTCTCCTGTGTTAAGCTTCTCCTACATGCCTTGATGGTAAGAGCAATCTTTATTTTTTGTAACCCATAGTAATAACCATTTTTAGTAAACTGCCCTATTTGCTACCTTATTTAATGAAAATGAATTGCAGGAAGTTTTGTGATGTAATCTATGGTTTTAAAAACCAGTAACCTCCAAACAAATGTTCCTTATTCTTGTAGTTTAGGAAAGGATGAAAAGTAGAATCTCATGAGGAACTCTAAGTGGCCTTCACTAATAAATTCACAATGACTAACAGTGTCAGACAATTAAAAGCCTCAAAAATCACCATATTTTATTACAAGATGCACTAACAAAACATTTTTCAAATAAGTAAAAAGCAACTAGTTTAAGTTTTTCCCAGTGTAGACAAATCCATAACTCTCTAGCAGCTGAAATTTTTTAACACCTTTGGTCCTGTTACAGGTTAAAAGCATAGCTGAACCAGCCAAAGAAGATGTCAAAGCTAGGAGGCAGATTAAAGCAGAGCTTGAGAGAAGATGAACCCATTTTTCCTTCATTTAAGCTACCTAAAGAGGAGAAAAAAAAAAAATCCTCTCCATTTGGGCTTACAGATTACAGCACCAACGATCCATACATACACACCACCTAACAAGCAATATACCCAGCAGCAGCATTTTGTCATAAAGGCAGAACTCACTTGTTTTAAAACTACTTAAGATTAGACTACCCCCAAAACTTCCAGGATCTGCTCCTTTTCCTCCTCCTACCTACAGCACTAACACTGCTGACTTCATTACCATTCTCCAAGGGTTACTAGCCCCGTCTCCTGTTCTGTAATCTACCAGGCAGCCACAACTGTAAGACTTTATTTAGCTGCTTAACCTGCCACTCTAGAACATCCTCTGTAGCCTCAGCCACACTACAGAAATCAAGTAAAACATTAAGAAATTTACCTGCACTACAGGTGTAAGAAGCATCAAAATAACACTTAGGAAAAACTGAGCTATCAACACAGCCACCGGATGTGGGAAAAAAAGTCCACTTTGGACCAGAAATGAATTACTTAACCAATTATACTCTGATCTGTCAGTACAAGCACTAATCTCCTGTAGCACATCGGTCTATCTTCAGAATCTAGCTAACTCGATCACGCTCAAGGTACTTCATATTTAAGGCAACAGCCCATTAAAATTTTAAGTACACACAGTACTCTCCAGAACAATTCAGCAAAAGTCTGGAGGAGAAAGGAAAAAAGGCTCGAGTAAACCTTTAAGAAATTTAAATTAGTATGTATCCATATACTGATGAAGTGACGTGCTGCTTCTGCGAGATACTTGGAACAACGCTGTTCACCTTCTGGCTACAAAGGTGAATTAGTCTTCCTCACAGTTTGCTCTTATGGACTTGCTTTTCTAGCAGTCTTGACAACAAAACAGCTGATCAGATGATTATTCTGATAAAAGCAACCTACTCCTCTACTCACAGTGTTTCCTCCAGAGCCTTCTACCACAGGAACGTGTAAGATGACAAGGGTCAATAGCTCTCCCTTTGCTCCTGATTGACAGTACTCAGAAGCAATGACAGCCAACCTGCAGCTCACATCCAGGAAACTGACTGCAGCAGCAGCTCAGCGGCTTTCTCTTAGGAGAAAGACAGCAATAAACAACAAAGTAAACCCAGTACTTCCAGAAGTGCCAGATGTGGTCAGTTTCTCCAAATGTACAGTAAGTGGACAAGAAAGACTGGAGTAGAGACTTTCCTTGTTGCAAGAATAAACTAAAGGGACACAGCCAGCAGGAAAGGTCAGACACCAATGCTTGTCTCAACGTCTGCCTTCAGACAAAGCTAGATGTTCTCTACTTTTTCAGTATTCGCATTCAGTCTCACTTTTCCATACGACTTCAACCCAACCTCCAAACCCTACCTTTGGCACATGGCACTACAAGTACACAAGTTGATTTTTCTCTGCATTTTCCATATTTATGTTTCTTCCCTTTTCATGTCCCATTTCAAATACAAAACAAGGCATTAATGAATTCAAAAAACCTGTATATTAAATGGGGCAAACCATTATCAAGCTTTAATTTCCTTAGCCTTTCACACCCCACATCTGTAAACTTACTTAGGAAAGATATGATCATGTCCTTTATCACTTGCTGCTCATCTATTCAGTCATGTCAGCAGAAGTTTCTGCTCATTTCTTTTAACAGTTTGCTCAATTAGGTCTCTTCTCTTTTGAGTCAAGAAACAGAAGAGACAGACAGGCTGTCATATTTAGGAAGTGCCACCTTCAACAAACTTTACCTGCAAGACTCTTCCCCGCTGCTGACAGTCTATGACGCCAGGCAAGAAAAATAAAGTCTGCAGACAGGGTAGTCCAAAAGCTTCTGTAATACCTGTATTACAAAAGCAGCTTTTTCCCTAAAATGAGCCCCCACCCCAACCCTTTTCCCTTATAGCTCACCAAAGAGGAGATCCCAGCCATCTTACTAGGTCCATCAAAGTAGGACTCCAGCAAGTGACGTGTCTCAGATGAGAGTAAAAGCACGGACGAAAGGCAAGCAAAGAGAAAGAGATAAGGATATGGGCTAGCTAGGAGTTTCCATTAAACAACTCAGCTACACAACATAACTGAAAAAGACAGGGTTGGGCATTATCTGATGGAAAAAAAATTCAGGTAATTTGTTTCTGGCAAAATATCACACACACATATAAAACAACTGCTACAATATGCTTCAAAATGTTAGCAATCCACACTTCAGTTTCACTGAAATATTCCAAATCCGAAATATTACTAGTCTTAGTATTTTAAGGAATTAAACACCCCCCCAAATTAAAAATAAAGATACAGAGTTCCAAATACAAAGTAATTGCCTAACTTCTCAGAAGTAACTGCTAAAGGCAACTTTGAAAATACATTTGCGCATTTTACTGACCACATGTTCCAATTCTGAAGTGATAAACAAAGTTCAAGGTTTAAAAAGAATTAAGACTTGTTCTGCAACCGTATTTAGATTCCTGTCCCTCCAAATATTAAGCTACAAAACCATTTTAACTTTTGGAGTCACCACCACCACCACTTCTAGATCAGAAATTAAGTACATCACCCTACGTGTCATTTTGGCAGGAATTATGTTCAACATTCAGCCTTAGGAGCAGAAAATAAGACCAGTCAATAGAGCTTTTCAATTCACATCAATTCTAGAGCGTATTTTTTTTTTTATCGTCTCACCTATAAGATCTCTATCAAGACGGCTGAAAGATGCTATTTAAACTTAGGCTACTGTCAGGAAGTACTTACTTTGGAACAAGGCATTTTAAACACATTACAGTTCCCTTACAGCTTTATTACCTTTGCCATGACTTCAGGATCTGGGTCTTCTATAGGGTCAGCCCATTCCACCGTAACAACATTTCCCCAGACTTTGACTTTGCCACTCATTAACCTACGTCTGGCCTGAGCGGCAGTTTTGTGATCTTCATATTCAAGGAAACAGAAACCCCGGTTCTTTTTCTTGTCATCAGGCTGATGATACAATATGACATCTGTAAGACCCTCTGAAATTAAGCAAAATATTTATTTGTTACTGCTTCAATCCATGAATTTGTATTATAAAGTGGGGATTATCTTTCTAGTAAGTGTGCATCTGACAAGTGGTTCCAAAAAAGCATGAACATGCTAGACTTTTGAGACCATGTACACAATAAAAAGTTTCCCTACCTTCAAGGTCAACATTTTCAAAGAGACATTAGACTATCCCAACTTAGGTTCTATTTTTATAAAGTGAAGAAAGCTTAGTAGCTATGGAAGAGTACCTTTCCTCTAACTGAACGGAGAAGACATAAGGGCAGCCAGAAGTTGTGTTTTGTCAGTTCTCCTCTCAAACCCCTAAGTCACACCACTTAGTACGTGTTTTTTCCATGGATGTCTAAACAACAAGAGATCAAACTTGCATGATTTTAGGACATCTAAAAAGTTTCAGTGTTGTTCCAAGGAACCTGAAGTATATCATTCAGTAACAGAGAAAGTCATCAAATGTTACCTTTGCCAGTTCATATGCCGTTATCAAAAAGAGATCCTTATCAAATCACTAAGAATTCTGAAGCAGAGAACTAGTTACGTTCTCCAACCTGCTTCAGTTTTGCCTTGTAAAGTTTTAGAATAACCACTAGTATTGAGATAATTAAACCATCTATTTCTTTGCATGGCTTTTTTAAACATTACATACTTATTCTCTAGGTAAAACTTGGAACCACAGATCTAATCACAAGTATTTCAGCCCTCAGCACAACAACAGTTTAAAACAAAAACACCTAAAAGTCGGGACAAATGCTGAGTGGTCTTCGTTTGGATTCGTTATCATTCAACCATAAGCCAACCAATGGTGAGGGGAGTTCATCAATGATCACATTTGTCATCTTTTCAGCTCTACAAAACAGTTATTGACTTACCTGTTACTTTGCTAAATTCTTCAACAATCTGCTCCTTGGTTTTACTCTTAGGAATAGAACCAACAAAAAGCCTATTATTGGCAACAGAGATGCATACACCAATGTGTTTTCCAGAACGAATTTCATGGTTGTTGTACTGAAAGAAAAAAAATAATTGGACATTCATCAGTTACAGATAATTTTCACTCTTCTCCAACAACAGCATATCAAATATTTTACTTTTGCAAACATAGCATTGAGTAATATATTAAATTCTTCAGAGGTTAATACATTCTTACGATGCATATTCAACTGCTCTGAAGTATACTCATGTTCCCTAAGACACCACCACAACTTCAGCCAACAATTATTCTCCCCTTCTTGTTCAAGCCTCTTTCCTAATACATGTTTCTTTAGAGGCCTTTTCATGTAGAACCATGAAAGGTAAATCTTATGTCCAAGTCATCAAGGTCAAGGCTTCTCCCTTCACAACAGTGCAGAAAAAAATGCAAGTTCCTCTACAGATTGTAGCTATCAATTCTTGATTTGTGTATAATACAAGACAGAAGTTACAATTAAAGTCAGATTCCCTTTTAAAGTTCCATAGTTAACAAGAGAGCCATAATGAGGCCTTTTCCACAAAATGTGCAAGAGCAATTGGTAAATACTTTCCAAACCACATATATTACACATGTAAAGATAGTAAACAGCAAGAACAATTCTCTACTGACTTGAAATCCTAAGACTTCTGTTCAAATGCTTCTCCCATAACAGATTGTTTAGAAGACACCCTGAACAAGTCAGCAGTTTAAGGGAAAAAAAAAAAAAAGTATTACTGTAGACATCTGTTGACAAAAAATGCCTTTCACTGAGATGCAGCCACAGACATGCATCATCCAAATAAGCAGCAGGGAGGTCAACTGGTGGTACATCAACCCCTTTCCAACTGGAAGCCCTGCAACAGACAGTTCTTTAGCTAGGAAAATGTATTTTGTGGTCAACATCTTATAGACAAGTAGCAGGATAGCTTTTAAAAATTTAAGTTAGCTATTTATTCTATTAATTATTTTGTGTTTGGTGGTAAACCTTTCTGCATAAGCAAGTTCTCCCAAACCCCCTGTTGCTTCCTGCACCAAAATCAACTCAAGGTGAAGATATGTGTTTGTTTATATTTATATTGTGCAAACAAAAACTACATCACTGAAAAATCTTCAAAGCTAGACAATTGGACCAGAAGTGAGCTAAAAGAAGAACTGTACATGTGAAAAGGATTTGGAGTGGCATCTTCCCAACTCACTATGTCTCAAAAACATAGCAGGATACAATAAAAGACTTCTATCTCTGTACCTGTTGCCCATGTGACAGAGGAATAGGTGACTTTAAAGTAGGAAACAGCTGTAAGAAGTAGGAAGACTGTATATGCATATATTATTATGATCACTAATAAACAGACTTATACACATTAATGAAGAGACAGGTTACAGTAGCTCAAAAAAAATCCTTTAAAGAAACACCTTTAAAGAAGTTGACAGTTTATTAATCTGGAAATGAAGAATCAGTTTGTGTCTTGTTAACTGAAGTGTACATTAGGAAACATTTCTCTACATTAAGAAGCGTTATTTTACTGAGAGGGTGCTCAAATACTGCTTGCTAGAGAGGTGGTCAATGCCCTAAGTCTGTCAGTGTGGACAATGCCCTTTATACTACTACTTTAACTTTCGGTCAGCTCTGAAGTGGTCAGGCAGTTGGGACTAGATGATCGCTGCAGGCCCCTGCTAACAGAAACATTCTATACTATATGGACAATAGAAGATATCCCATCATTCCTGTTAAAGTCTAAGACCAAAGTTTGGCTACACATTTAATCCAAAAAGAGCCTCTCATGCAACTCATGGCAGTAAAGTAAATTTCATAACTTAAAAAAAATTAAAATATTCTACCATACTGCAATTCCACATTGACAGTAGTTCCCAGTAGTTTTTTCATAGTACAATACATTAACTACTACTTTTCATTGTATGTTTCTCTTAACACAGAGAAAAGAGTCTTGAATTAAGTACTCTTGAATATAAAGTTGGTGGGTTTTAAGTAAATAGTTTGCCTACCATCTGTAAACTTAGATTAGACAGGAACAGGCCCGAATCATGATCTGGGTAAAGTGCCAAAACAGTCAGGCTACCAAATTAGCTATGTCAGCATACTGCTTCCCCCTCCTGTCACCACTGAATCAATGCCCAAAGTTAGTAACAGAGATACTACTACCCTCCAGACACTATAATAGATATGATTTTTTTTTTTTACCAAGTTCTTATAGAATCTACTCACAAACAGGTCAAAGTATGCATAAGGTCTGTCTTGTCCTTTTATCCACTTAAAGTTTCATTAGTAATTTTAGTTTATTTCCAGCAGCAAACGGCAAGTTGTACTGCTGTGCATAGCTGGCAAACTCCTTAAGAGACATATTTGCATAACCCACCTGTACCTGCACTTTCATCTAGCTTACTTGCTTGCATTACTTGCTCTAGTCAAAAATACACCATATGCTACTACAGTTTTCAGTATGTTCTCCTACAAGCTTCACCTCACAAGTATTTATCCTGCACATGTCTACAGTAACCTTAATCACTCAAATTTCAGTTTTTCAAAAGATTTCTAACAACTTTGCTTGCATTACTTGCTCTAGTCAAAAATACACCATATGCTACTACAGTTTTCAGTATGTTCTCCTACAAGCTTCACCTCACAAGTATTTATCCTGCACATGTCTACAGTAACCTTAATCACTCAGAAATCTTTTGAAAAACTGAAATTTAACAACTTCATATGAAATAGGAGGGAGAATTGAACACGTGTGCAAAAGAACACAACTGAAGTCGTAACTCTTACACAATATAAAACAGAAGGTAAACACAAACACGTTAACAGGGAAAAAAAATGCCTGGGGTTAAAAAAAACAGTAAAATCAGATTTCTGATAGTCAGTGCCTATGTGAACATTTGAGATGCCCTTTCTACTTAACCAGTAAGGGTTAACCACATTGGATTAAGTACTGGACTGAAAATTAACTACTGTTCATATCTGTAAGTCTTCTCTATATCAGGCCATAGCATCATTCCATTTTTGTCTTAAGCACAGTCCCAAAAGTACTGCAAACACAATTCAGGGAATTCTCCCCTTTAAGTGGCTTAAAAATGCATATACGCAAACAAAACCAAGGCTTAAACCGTTTAAATTGCAAGATTTCTTCTGGTTAATGAATAGGGTAAGTCAACATTAAGTTTAGCCAAAAATTTTAGTTCAGTTTTACATTAAGCTGTTATAAAGACTGGATAATAGAACAGCCACGCAAATATGAATTGTATGCAAAATATGTTACACTAACTGCAAGAGCCTGAAGACAGGCCAGTTTACTCTCTGCTGCAGTTTGGGTATTGACAAAACCTCATAGCTGTCTCTTATTACTCAGAGGCCTACTGGCAATGGAGAGATTTTTATTTTCATTTCTGCTATATTTTTCAGAGTCCTAAATGGGGAAAAAAAAAAAAAACCTCTGGGAAGATGAGAAGTAACAGAACCACTCATATCCCAGGGAGTCCAAAAAGCTGGGAAATAAGTTGTATGCACATCAGAAGATTACACGTAGTATCAAAAAGAACACCACTTGTTAAAGTACTAAGATATTAAAATGCCTAGGACCAACGTTTTTTTTTAGCATTTCTAAGAGGTGTTTCAGCAGCCTCTCCCATGCATGTGTAACTAATACAAGTGACAGACCTACGATTTTCAACCAAGCTCTACAGAGCCACATGTTGCTAGTACCTCCACAAATCACTTCTAGACAACTTGGGAAACTTGTAATACACCAAACTAGCCAGCCAACTATGGCTAGAACCATTCAAAAGCTGACAAATGTCACAGGATCCAATGTAAACCTAACCTTGCCCTCAAAAAGGTTAGCATAAGAACTGAAAAACTGTCCCATCTATTACTACAGTTTTCCACTATTACACTCGGTGGCTATTTAACTGAAAAACAGAACACACCACTTTTCCTGCATGTCCAAGATCAGATACAGAGGGACATCAAGAACCTCCTTCCCTTGCACCACTTTTCCTGCATGTCCAAGATCAGACACAGAGTGACATCAAGAACCTCCTTCCCTTATATCATTTACTGGAAGACTGAGGGTAGGATCTGATGTTACTTTTATGGAAACACAATCAGAATGACTTTTCAGAGTGTGCTGCCTTTAAGCAAAATCCAGCTAAGTGAAGAAAAATTCCTTCACACAATCAGAATGACTTTTCAGAGTGTGCCGCCTTTAAGCAAAATCCAGCTAAGTGAACACAAATTCCTTTTTGTTCATTTACTAGGTGCCTCTAAGAACATATGTGATTCGATTCACTGTTTTGCTAAGTGACGTGCGTAACTCTTAAGAGTTCACACACAATATAAAGATCTAGGTTGACAATGAAAGTACGAAAAGGTATATGCAGTTGTCCTCAGTATATCTGGATTGCACATAGGAACACCAACCATTCTTACTTAAAAAGCTAAACAGCATATACCGGGTATTTTCTTCCACTTTTGTAGGCATTTCTGTGCTTTTTCAAAACACATTCTCATCTTGAGTTTGATTTGTCTCCACCAACTGACTTACATTATGTCAACAGGGTACCTTGCTTTTTCAAAACACATTCTCATCTTGAGCTTGATTTGTCTCCACCAACTGACTTATATTATGTCAATAGGGTACCCTAACGGTTCAAGACGTACCTTATTACAAAACAAGAGATTTTAACCCTGCTACATCAATACACTATCAGTACACCTCAGAATGAGTATGGTTAGCACTTGAGGGTCATACTGCACACCAATCTTGGCCGTATCAGTATAGCAGCAACTAGCTCAAAAAATTCAAATTCAACTTAACTAGGAAAGCAAAGGAGCAGTGCAAGGATCAAGGTGCCGTTTCTTTCCCCCCTCTTTTTTTAGTGATCGATACTTCATGCATAAAACCTGAGAAGCTTACTAAGAGTAGCCTGTTCCTCATATCAAACTATTTTACACCTCTGTGTAAAACAGAGGAAATGTTTTTTTAACCTGGCAGGATTCATGACTTTTTCCAGTCGCAGCAAACAGAATAGACCTTAACACTCAAGAGTGATTATTTCCCATCCAGAGTGCCTTATGAAATTCTGTGACTTTGGAAGCATTTTTCCAGCACGGGTCCCCCTGCTGGTGCACAAGCAAATGAGACATCACAGACAACCTGACCGACACTTCCCTTCTACCACCACAACCCAAACTCCACTTCCCTCCAAAACTCATCCAGATGCACACAGCTCAAAAGTCACGATTGCCAATACAACTTTTCTTAATAACAAAGGCTCATCTAACTGGATCAAATAGCAGTCCATCAGCTTTTTTCCTCCCCTGTCCCTAACACAGCCAGTAAAGATTTATACGGAACGTGGAAATATTTAAAAACACCTAGTGGACATTTATGAAGTGATCTAACAATGATACCTTCATCTTGAAACATTTCAGTACTAGGATCAGGACAACTGCTTAGAAGCCAGAGAGCATTCTTGGGGGGAAAAAAAATCCAAGTAAGAAAACTTACCAGTTTAACAGCTTCCTGAGCTGCCTCTTTAGTACAAAAAGTGACAAAAGCATATCCTCTATTTAGACCAGTTAGTGGATCCATCATCAAGCGGAGATCCCATATAGGGCCAGCTTTCTCAAACAATGGAACAAGTTCATCTTCAAACAAGTCTCTTGGAATCTTGCCCACAAATATCTACAACAGACATACAGAGAGTTGTTTATAAATACTTCTAATGAGTAAGAATACATCTACATAAACATCTCCTTCTTCTTACCTCTGTACCAACAGAAGGTTGTTGTCCTGAATATACAGACTCTGGAGGAGGTCCACCATACTTTCTCTGTCCAGTAGTCACATCAAGAGTGTAGCCGGTTCTCTCCAAGAGTGCCTTCAAGTAAGAAACTTAGAATTTTAAAATCATATACAAATTGAGCTAGTTTAGATGCACTTCATTCACAGACAGACATGCTTATAATTCCTCTTAAACTGCACTGCTTTGAAACTCCCACAGGCAAACAAGCCTACTGCTAGTACTTCAACAAGAAACTTGCAAAACAATTATTACAAGTATCAGGTACAGAAACACTGCTAGAAGACTAGAGATTCACCTAAGAGTTTTCCCAATTCCTTCATTTTCATACCAGGAAAAAAAAAAAAAAGGCCAAGTAATAGAATAGCCAGCTTCCCTTTAATTAAAAAGATCTTAGTCTGAGCCACATCTTGCTTTGGCATGTCCAATCCTGCAAACATTTATGCACAGGAGTTCCCTTCACTTAATGAGATTACTCATAAGTGTGAAGTTAAAGAACACATGTTTAAGTGCTTACGCCCCTAAACACCGTACAGACTGCTTCAGGTATCCAACCACTGACGTGGTAGTACTAACGTCCTTTCTGCTATCCTCCCCGCCGCCCCAAGTTCCTTTTGGGCACATAGAGCACCCCAGCACAACTGATTGTCACTAGCATCACTGCATATGGTTACAGATACACTACCAATTTAAAACGTTAGCTGAAATGTAATATCCAAATATACAATGAGAAACTCCTCTGAAATTAGTCTGTCTTAATAGTTTTGTACCAAGACAAATCAACTCCATACACAAAGAAACAGCATATTAAACAAGCCTAATTATAACCAAGAGTTAGTAATTTCACAACTGGAAAATTCTGAAGTTATTTTAAATGCTATAGCCATCAGCAGTAAAAGCTATTCTACTTTAAGTTAGTTAACAAAGCCCTCATATTGTTGTTGTTTTATGTGGTAGTGACAAAAACTGTATCAGTTTTTTTTTTAATTTATAATTAACGGCATCCCAGCCTCAAAGTCGGGAGAAAAAAGTTATTCCAGTTTCGCAAGCTACATAGTTATTTTTAATACATAACACGTTCACTTTGCATTTTACACGTGAGAAGTTGAAAGATGAAAGATTCTCTCACTTTTTAAGGCAACTAAGTATGCTTAGATGGTTTTCCTTTCCTTAAGCTTTGGTAAAGTTGCTAATCACAGAATTTTAAAGTAAATCATAGTATGCCTAACTCCGGAGACAGGAGTCTCTTGCTAGCAGAGGACTTGGTCCAAGAAAAAACGTGTCCATTACTAAGACAGTTTCGGGTACAGTTTATTAGAACAGTGATTATGCTATAAGAAGTGGGCTAAATCCTAAATCCATTACAATCTATTTTTTCAGACACATGTGGTATTTCCTCCCTATTGCAGAGTTGCTTTAAACCTGAATTGAAGAAAATAAAAAAAACACCCACAGAACAAAAAAGGAAACAAAACCAACCACCAATAGCTGAAGTTATGCATTCTGAACTCAAAGATCTATGCTGACAAGTTTCCAAAAACTTCTAACTGTGAAATAGCGTAACTGCCTCAACTAGATATAAAGCAAACTGTCAAATCGTTTTCACCTTTATATACATTCAGTTCCAGTAATTAACAGCATAGTAACTTTCCTCTTGAAAAGGAAGAAGCGCAAGATAAAAATGCAGGTGACAGCTTTCAATAATAACAAATAATCTTATACAGCCTTTTTAAGAAAAGGACAGTTCCAAAACAATCAAGGTATCTGTCACAACAGCTTTGAAAAACCACAGACAAATCACATAATTTTTATCTTTTAGGCACATACCTTAATTTTTGCCTCATCTGGTCCTTTGCTAGAATCTGCCACCTTGGTCCCCTGTTTTTCCCTCTGCCTGTAGGTCTTCATGACTCCACATAAAAAGGCACTTTTGTTCTGCAAAAGATACATTAACCTTCAGTTCTGAAAACATGAGAAGCCAGAATCTAATTTTATCTTGAACTAATACAGTGGTCATTTTACATATCACGTATGGATCACTGAAGAGACTTAAGCAAACCTCCTGCCAGTCAACTAGCAGTTTATCCCTCAACAAATTATATTCTAAATTGCTTAACATTACCTGAACATGTGAGAGATCACTGTCTTTAAACTGCTGAAGTACTGCCAATGCACCTTCTTCATTAAATTCCTTTAAAGCTTCAATAGCTCTTTCATCTAGATCACTATGTGCAACTAGCCCTAGAGAAAAGAAAAAAAAAAAATTACTAATTATATTTGGGCAGAAATCTTTGTTTAACCATACTTAACACATTTCAGTGACCCCTAAAATCAATCACTGTTTAACTTAAGTTACTATACCTAAGAAATCACTTAGTCCTCTTAAAGGTAAACATTTAAGTGTATTTAACCTTCTTTAAAACAAAAAGCATCAAAACAGTTAAGATTGAGGGTAACAGTTACTGCATTTATGTATATGTTTGACTTCTATGAAACCCACGTTACATGGGCCAAGTTTATTTTCAATATCCTGAAGTTGAATTCAGAAGAATCTACCAAAACCTGACCTAGCTTGCCTAGCAATGGTACCTTGGTACATTTTGAGAAGACTATAAAGACAAATAAACTGCAGCACTAAAAGTGACCACCACAAACCAAAAATCAAGCTTAAAAATGCTAGTTATTACCATGTCTGAGAGAACCAATACAATAACCTTTGCATCCATGAGCCCAAATACTATGTCACGAAGGATCATTTACACGTAAAGATGAATACCAAGGCTTCAGTTACTTACAGTTACCCACAACTACTGTAAAAAAATGCACAAAGACCACATCACCTGCTCCTCCTAAAAATCACCTATTGCCTATTCCAGCTGTTGCTATGGTCACCTGCATACCTCTCCTCCTTCCCACCCCTCAGCCCAAGTGGCCTGGCCCAAGACTTTTCTCTGAAAAAGTACTACAACAAATTAAAACACTGAATGGAAAACATCCACAGATTTTGGTAAGACTGCAGTTCCCATACTTTTGGAAACCACAAAAAGTTGCTATTTTAGCCCAAAGACAGCAGAATCCAATAAAATATCGTAAGTGTAGTTTTGCAAGTTTTACATCTTACCTGCAACGTAAATTTCATCTAGTTTTTCAGCAACTTTCTGTGGTAAACCAGCATCAAGCAATGTCTGGAAATGCTCAGAATGGGTAACTGCAGCAGAAGTATCCATGGGCTCTTCAGTACCATTCCCATTAACATGTTCAGTAGCCATGTTTCCAGATATCTGTTCAAATGCAATAAGCATCATAATTAAGCTAAATATATCTTCAAGTAGAACAATTCAAGTGACAATACATGCAACA